TACTATAAGATGTAAGATACAAGCAGTGAGACTCAATACGCAGATATACCTTAAGTCTCCTGTTGGTAAACAGCCGAATATAGACATTTCTGACACAGACATTAAGTGTGTCAGGCCAGACTAACTTCCACCATCAAATGACAGCACTGCTCTTGGGCTTTTCTAACATATTTACTGCAAGGCTCACAACTGGTGTGCACAGATGCCTAGATTCAGCTGTGTCAAAGAGCATGATCAAAGAAGCTCTAACAGGGTGGGAGAAGGTATATATAGCACACCATCCTTCAGCTAAAACAATACTAACCAGAACTGCATTCCATGATTATGCGGAAGACTCAGGAACAAGAGTTTTAGCTCAAGTGTTTCCATTAACACACTCTAGGAAAACTAAGTTTGTTCCTCACTTTCCCCTTTCCCTCCGTACAACAAAAACATTCTCTTGTGAACTACTTTTATACACTTAGGTGAAACATGCTGGAAAATGGTCTCAACTGCATTCCCTATGGTTCTGCAAAGGATATTCTGCTAACGTCAGTACATCTGTACAGTACCTCTGTACAGTACCTGGCATGGATTGTGCCCTGTAAGCAGAGGTGCATGTGGCTTCAATCCTTAAAGCCTTGGCTGTAATAAAGGTGAAAACAAGCTCCATGTTGTTTAGGTGTCTCTGGAGAGGTGCGGACATCATCTTCACTCAGCACCCTCACCCGAAGACAGAGTCACCTGTGGCTCTTTAACACAGAGCTTCTACCTTTCTGGTGTGTCACAGAGTCTCTGAACAGCACTTTCCCAATCCCTAAATGGAGAGCACTAACTTTGTTTACAGGGGAAGTAGTTTAAAAAAAATAAACTTGTCAAATCACTTCCCTATTCTATTCTCTTCAGCCTATCAGAAATAGTAAAATCCTTTTAGAAGGCTGATGTATCACTTCACAAGAAGTTGTGTGACAAAAATGCATCAAATAATTCTAATCTTCCTATCTTTCTAAAGGGAAGCTGGCAAATTAAGCAATCACCAGTTATATAGCATTGTCCAAAAGAGGGCTTTACAAATTGTAGTGATATTAGTGACATGCCATTTCATAGAAAAGCTGAGTCCAAAAGAAAACTGAAGTGTGTTACATTTTATATTGATCAAAAGAAATGTTTAATCACAAATGTAGTAGTGCTGAACAAGTTGACATTAAAAAGGAAATTATGAAACTGGTGTCCCCAACAGGACATCCTGGAACCAATGCAGCTCTGAAAGAAGCTTCAAGTCAACACAAACAGCAAGAAGGTTGTTTCCACTCAATGTCTCCTATCTTGTATTTTCACTTACCCTTGCCCTAAAGTGTTTCTGTTGAATCCTCTATTCTTTTGACTCCCTCCAGCTAATTCTCCTCCATGCTGTCCCACATGCTCTGTCACTCTCCTTCACTCCTGTGAGTGTAGCAGTATTCAAGTATCACTTGCGAGGTCAATATACTTGATATGTTCAGTATCACCAGATAGCTGAATCCCAAACATACCTCACCTAAGACTGTATTAAGATCTGACTAATCAGCACCATGGGAAAGCCTCTCTCATCTCTAGCATAATCCCATCAAGTGAGCTGGCTGAAAAAAAAAAGTGACAGCTACAAAACCAAAGGAATCCAAGGAAAGAATTCGCATCATGGGGGTAAGGTGCTCTAGTGCCTGCACAACACAAAAAAACAGTTAACAGTGCAGGCTGCTTAGTACACAAACCTACTTTAGCAAAAAAATGTGGGATAAGGTGGTCATATTTCATTCAACTACACCAAGGATATTAGGTCTCAGACTCTTAGCATTATAATAGGTTGTAAACTGTGGTATATTTAATGCTGTATCAGCCTCTGCTCTCCAGGAGCTCCCCAGGACAAACTTACTGCCCAAACACTGAGATTTATTAATTGGGCCTACACAGACTGCTTACATATAACTTGAAAGTCACAAGTTCTCTCTGATCTTCTAACTTCAGCTTTCATGCAACATAGTTGTGAGACACGTAACAGCAGGCACTGTGTAACTGAAGAACTTCTACTTAGCAATAATGCTTCATCTAGATGCAAAAAATGCTGACCCCATAGGCAACAAAACATTGTGCAGCATCTCTCCCCAGTGAATGCTACATATAGCACAAGTTTCTCAAAATTACAAAGCATTACACACTATGGGTAAGAAAAAAGTGATCCTACATGTTTCTGTACCAGAAGGCCAGTTCTTCTAAAATAAACATCTCCAAGAAGAAACTTAATGCACCTAATGGATTTGGACTCCAGAACACAAAGGGGGAGATCGAGTAATTGTAAGAAGCCTGATACTACATTGCTGAGCTCCTCCTGGAGGGACTGTCTCCTGTAAAACTTCTGAATTAACTGGCCAGGGAAAGTAACAATAAAGAGTTCCTATGGTTGACACAAAAAAGATGCTGCCCTTCAGAATTTCAAAGGTGCAAACATGGGACAGATTTAAGGTTAAAAACGGGAAGCAATTTTTATGGAAAAAAATCGTTGATATTTTCTTCATTCTTGTTTTTGCAATTTTAGACATGTACACTTATGATATCAAAGTGCATGAGTGGAGAGGTAAGTTTAACTACAAGTTGAGGACTGTCACAAAATCCAGCTCAGGTCCTGCAAAAAGTGATCTCCTCCACCTGAACTGCTACAGCATCCTACTGTTCTAATGAAAATTATGTTGAGGTTTCCTGTGGCATGACCAAGGTTGCCAGTAAAACTACGGAGAGAGGAAGACTGTTTCTGTCTGCCTCTCAGGTAACTTACTCCACCTACCGTCCGAAGAGGGACAGAGGCAGCAAACACCCGAAAAACTTACTGGTTCTTGGCAGCATGTTCATACCACCAGGCTTACCACCGTTTGCTTCTAAGTAAGCAGGTTTTAGTTAGAAGCCATCAGCAACAAAACAAAAAGCCATTTTTCCAGCTGTCCATAATTCAAAGTGAATGCAAAACTAAAAAAGTTCTTTGAACAACTATATTCAATCTTTTCAAGTATTTCCAAGTACCTTATTTGGAGCAATTTTCTTGCATACAAAAGGGCCAAATAAGGCAGAAAAACTACCCAGCTGGGTTTAAAAGTGTCCTGCCACATCAAAAAATATTCAACAGTCTGGAAAAAACAAAGTGAAGACTGCAGACTGGAATTCTTCTAGTGAAGCTCATAACACAGGCAAAAACCACAACAATACTGACATATTGTCCATAGGGACTGAAATTCCCAGCTTTTCTCATTGTCAATGCCTGGATCAAGTTCAAACTAAGTGGGAGTATTGCATGCATGAATCTGCAGTCTCTGGGCTGTGCTCTGCACCAATCAGGGTAGTTGCACTTTGCTCAGAGTTACAGTTCCCAGTGTACAAAGTTCAAGCAGCTAGCTGCAAACTTCAGATGTTTACTTTCACTTCACGCTTTCACAGAGTAAAGGAGCTTCCCAGTTTAACCAGAAAATGTTCAGTAGTCAGCTTTTTGATTTTTTTTTTTTTAAAACCAGTTCTTTTAGTCTAACATCCACAAAAATGGCTAGCGAGCCTGACAATATACTTTCTGCCATTGCTAGGAACTCCAAGTATAAAGACTAACAAACATTTTATGGAAATCAATCTTAATAAATAGAAAGCCATGAGCTAGAGGATGAAGATGACCATGTAATCAAGAAAACTGAATCCTTGTAAGGCCTCATCTTTGTAAATGGAACATTTAACACGCTCATATTTCAAGATTCCATATCCCTCTAATGAAGCACTTACAGAAAAATCAGTGTAAACAGGAGAGTAAAGTTGTCTTCCTCAAGGTCAAGCAACCAAGTGCTTGAGCAAGCACCTGGTTAAGGGATAACATCAAGTAACCAAATGCTGTCTCAAAGACATTTGCCCCCCCCCTTTTTTTTTTTTAAATAGAGCTTTATCTACACATACGAATTTTGAATAAATACTAGCAGCTTCCTGGCAATAATCCCCAAAATGAAACAGTAACCCATAGTTCCTCTTATCACTTCAGAGTTAAGTTTCTTCCAGAAATAAAGACACAGATAGGTCCACGAAAATGAGCTATATATTCTAATACACACCTCACACACACAGTATGTGATAAATACCTCACCTACATCCCACCCATGAACTTATATCCTTCATAGAATTATCTCATTGCACAGAGAAGTTGCTGAGCTTCAATAATTTTGGCAAAGTGAGGACAAGGTAAAAGTAGGCAAAGCTATAAACAGCAGTGCTGAGATGTGGGGAACGTGTGACAAACATATGCATAAGCCCAAGAAAATGCTTGGTGGTTGAAAAGAAGGAAAAAAAATCAGTAATGTCCTTTATGTCTGCAGGCTTCATGGTTGCTCTTTTCTGTAGTCCTTCCATTATCACTAAGTTAATGCACAGCTCATGACTAACGAGCTGCACCCTCTAACTCTATACAGGTGTCTGTGTGCAGAGAGAGAAACCTTATGTTCATAGTTGCCTCTCCTCTATTAAATACCCAGAAGTCATTTTAACATACAATTTCAGGAATTTGTTCCCATTGGAGTAGCACAGAGCACATTCTGTGACCACTTTCACTCTACAGAAAAAAACAACAGTGGATGTTTTCAAGTTTATCAATATATACTGAACCAAAATCAGCCACCTTGAAAATAAAATACAAGCATGTGCATCGATAATCTGTCCAAATCTGCCTAAGCCTAGGTAATTTCCAAGGCTTCAGAAATGCACAATCCCACCCTTGCTGTCTCACCTGGCTTCAAATGCAGTCCATGCACTGTCATTCTGAACCACAAGAATTTGAACGGCTGTCTTTTATGGAAAGCATCAGTGGTGTAATTAGTCTGAACAGTACTCAAACCCCTTTCCTAGTCAGGAAAAACACAAGCACTTGCCCAAGTACATTCCCTGACAGGTGAGTCCCCAGTACTCATCTTACAGCTGGACTGACTGGACAAGTAAGAAGAGGCATAAAATAGGCCAGTGATTTCTTCTTTTCATTACTTGATCATATGAGTCTCTTCATCAGCATCATAAAACTCCTCATCTTCACTTCCACTCCCTGCAGAACTGTCTTTGTCTCCAGACTAGAAACAAAAATGCAATCATTGGTTAGCACAGAAGCCGCTAAATCAATTTCAAAATACGTAAGCATTACACCTCTGTTGGAATGCTGGTAGAGAAAAAGTAAGAAAAGACAGGTCAAATCACTGTATTAAAACTTTGTAAAAGACATTAAGTGAATTAAGATTTCTTTGTGTCCCTGATTCTTCAAAATCTTTTTAAAAGAGATGGGCTTCTAGTGGATGGACTTCCTCTGCTCCTTCAGCACACTAGAGAATACACGCAGGAGAGAGACCAGCTAGAATGGTTCTGAAGTGATAATCTATTCAGCTTTCTTAAATTAAGTCTAAGGTCCCTACTCTGTGGTGAGCTACTGGAAAGAGAGGCTCAGAACACACAGATTACTTTATTAGGTAAAAGCTTCTCCATCTGAACTATTACTTCTCCATGTGTAGCATGGGCATTTTCCTATGCAAGTTCAATTAAAAAGGCCCCCTTCAATACTAACTAAAGGTGTTATGAAGTACTAATGTTGTTTTCCCTTTTCCATATGTTCAGAAAGTAAACTTCCAGCCAGAGTCCTTCTAACAACATAATTTAAATCATATACCCAAACTAAAGTCAGCTCTTCCAGCTAATTGATTTTTATTTGGCCAGTGTAGCATTTTTCCATGGAACTGATACAAGTTATTCCAGTTAAAAAGATCCTCTTGCTAGTATAAACTCCATCTAGTTTGAGTATTTAGGATTTTTTTTCCAGTATGCTTGCATGCACCCTAAGACTTCTGCCTTCCTAGTCATATGCAAAGAAGGGTGAGAGAGAGGGTGAAAAAATAGAGAAATGGAAATTGTGTTCCTGACTGACAGTACCATACAAGCAAAATCTGTAGCTTTAGATCTGTCTTCAGAGGAGTTTTGCTACAGCAGTGTGCGTTAACTGCAAAGGAATTTCAAACAGTTTGAGCGTTAAGACCTGTCAGAAGATATAAAGGGAATCATGTTATGCTTTTTTCTGGATTTCTAAAATTATTTGAGGAAAGTCAGGCTATCACTGGAAGCTGTCCAACTTGAATATCACATTCATGTATGTTAACAGGGACAAAACCTCCATTCTGGGCAACCAGAACACGTTATGCTGCAAGTGGTACAAAAGGACAATGGATTCCACAGGGGGAATTCAGGGTATGCCAAATAAATTCTACATCTTTCTTACAGCAGCTTCGTAAGACCTCTCCATGGCCTTGTCAAATAGGGTTAATGTTTAACAGCTTTCTATTTTATCAGTGCTTTCTTTGTGAGCTTTAAAATAAGCCCCTAATGTGTCACAGACATTCCAGATAAAACTTCACTGAAGTTACAGGACGACTACAGGCCTCAACCAACAACCTTTTTTTCATTTGGATTCAATAATTTTAATCCATCTGGGGAAAAGTGTTCCTGAAGAACATTCTCAGTTTGTTTTTTTTCTTTTGTGGATCCTGTTCAGATGGGATTTTTAAGAAGCCTGCAGAAGTGCATCCTGAGAAGACTTCTTGACAGAAGTGAACCAAGTTGTGCAAATACTGATAGACAGACAATATTTGTCACCCCAAAGGGCAATACTGACCTTACTTCGTTAGAAAGGAAAATACAAATGTGACATTCCCCTCTAAGTTGTAACATCTGCACTGTTTGCTAGAATTGCTTTTTGTTAATAAGCCATCTGCACAGTTAAGATGTAATAATGATGTAATTAATAATGATGTAATAACCAAAATAACAGCTGGTCTAAACTTGATGTAAATGTATATGATGGATTTGTGTAGCCAGCAAGAATGTGGTGCCATAACACATTATCCAGTATGGTTAAAAATGTGCACGTAAAGTAGCTGAAGTATAAAATTAATTGTTACAAGACTGCCTCTTTCAAGCTTTCTTCAAGGGTGCTTTTGTCACTAAATCATGCTGTCCTGTCAAGAATTATTACAGCTAAAATTGGTAAACAAGGCAACGTGTGGAAGCCCTTAGAAAGGAAGCAACTGTTCTCATTCTAGCAATAAATGTTGCTCTGCCTCCCGATTTCTGTGAAAATAAGTTTATGACTACCTGTGAATCTCAGGCTGCTTGACTAAAAATTATTCAAATAAAAGTAAAAGGTGTTATAAGGATCCTGTCTCATTTCAGCCTAATGGGACAACTAACATTTTTTTGTTATGAGTTACCCTTCAAGTCTTCTGACCACTTATTCAACTTTTATTAGTCCATCAATACTTAAAATTTTGGAACCAGGATTTAAACATTAAAACCTTATGCAATTTCAAAGACCCATTTAGAGCTCTCTAACTACTTCCCTCTAATCCTACTCTATTCACAGAAGAGCAGCCATGTCAAAAAAACCTCCACACCACTGGAAGATGTACACACCTCAAGAGGTGTCCAGGAGTTTGAGAAAATGAGGTATAAAGTGATACAAAAAACCAACATTCAAGGAAGCCTCACTGAAAAACATCCTGCTGCCACATTCATTTATGCTTATGCCTGGGAGTTTTGTAGTTCCAATGTTTTTGACGAGTCTCATTTCCCAGAATCAACAGTGGGACAGATCTCAGAGGCTGTCTAGCTTTAACTCATTTAAAGACTCACGAAGATAGACCTAACAATTGACATTGCAGAAAAGCCAGTGCAGGTCAGGGCAGAAGTACAGCATGCTGCCTTTGAGAACAGCACTTCACAAACAGGCTTCTGTTTTCTTTAACATCTAAGGCTTGTAAAACTTCAGCTTTGCATGAAGCATTCTGCAGCAATGCGTCTTTAGAGATTAGAGAGGCACAGACACCACTGAGTCTTTTATCCCAAAGGAAAAGATTGTAAGCTTTTGGCCTTGAAGGGATGAATTAACCCAGCTATGTTTCAGCCTGCATTTCCAGACATTTCAGACGTGATGGTAAGGTTACCAAACTATCTTCTGTATCTCCTCAGGGCCTCTTCTCCACAGGCCAAGAATCACTATCCTTATCTATTTAGAGTGGCATATTCAAGCTGACAGCTGAAATAAACACAACAGAAAAGTACTAGGAAAAAAAATGAATATACCTGTGAGCCATCTAGGGCTTGCAATGACATGGCTTCATCCCCTAGCCTCCAGTACGAGCATACCTGCAGGTCTGAAATCGTTTCTAGCAAAGGGCTGTTTAAGGTCTCTGGCAACAATAAACTTAAGAGCCCAGATAAAAGACCTGTTGCTCCAAACACAATGTAAGGCAGAGACCACTGTACAGATTTCTGGAAAAAAGAACAGAGAGAGTTAGGTTGAGATTGGTTCCCTCTAGTTCATACTGCATATTAAAGCACTCAACCTTTACAACCATTCCATCTGGCATGTGTCTGAGTTCATATTTAGCATAAAAGTTACTAATTCTGCTTAGTTTTTTAACCAATATTGTCAACTGTATCTTATCAATACTATTACATTAAATTAAATTAGGATTTTGGGATGGACTTTAAAAGAAATGCCTGCTGAATTTATACTCAGTTCTTGTCCATAATGTATATACTTTTTAACAAACATCACTTTGCAGTAGGGAGGAGCTATCACAGAATCACAGACATGCTGGTTGGAAGAGAAGGTCATCTAGGCCGACCACCTACTCTAAACATGACGACAGCCAACACTAGACCAGGTCAGTTATAGCTTTGTGTAACCAAGTATTGAAAAAGCTCCAAGGATGAAGATTCCCCCTCTGAGTAGACTGTTCCAGGGCTGCATTAAGCCTCTCAGAAAGAATATTTTCCAAATTTCCTATCTAACTCTCAAGCCAAAACTTGTGGCCATTGACCCCTGCTGAACTGTTCCATGCTGCTGGGAAGACCAAAGGTGCAATATTCCCTCAAGCTTTCATGTGAAGCCATGTGCTCTAGGCCCCTGACCATCTCAGTTAACCTCCACTGGACCCTCCCCAGATTTTTCAACATTCCTCTAGAACTGGGAAGGAACTTGATCTGTGCGCCACATACTGAGTTGGGCCTGATGTAGCTCAGTGTGAAGTTTGCCTGTTTGAGATGAGAGGACATTGCTAGCTCCCCATTTAACTTGTCATCCATTGTTGTACCTGGTTATCTTCCAGTAAGGCTGTTACTCAGCCAGTTGGTTCCCAGCCTGTACTGACCATGTAGTTAGTCCACACCAGAAACAGAATTTTATTCTTCTTGTTGGCCTTCATGGGATTTCTCTTAGCCCAAAAGGTCCCACTGGACTCAAGATCTACCATTTAGTGTATAAATCACTCCTCCATATTTTCCATCCTCTAAAAATATGAGGAGGATGTATTCTCTTGTATTTTCCAGTGGTCACCAGCTACCAAATACTGAGCCTGTCACTATCTCTTTGAGCCTGGTGGTCCATGCAACATTCAAATCTAATATTCCTTTTGTACAGGGGACACTTTCTCAGCTTCCAAACAAGAATGTTGTGGGACAGTGTCAAAAGCCTTTCCTGCTCTTCTCGCTTTCCTCATCCATATTCCCCTCTGCGATGAAACGGCAGACTATCAAATTAGACTGGCCTAGTCTGATTTGAATTGTCCTTAGTAAATCCACATTTACTAATCCCAATTACCTTCTTGGCTTTCACATGCTCAGAAACAGACTCTGAGAGGTCATGTCCCATGATCTTCGCAGAGACTGAGTTTGAGCTGCTCAGCCTGCAACTCCCTGGATCCACTTTCTGATCTTAAAGACGTACATGGCATTAGCGTTTTTTTCCCCCCACAGTTATCAGTGACCTTTCTCTACAAGAACGTTTATCACAGATGATGGACACTTGCCTCACCATCACAGCCAGCTTTTTCACCACCTCTTAGGGAATCCTATCCCATGGAATGGAAAGTTTTCACCCTTAAGTGTCCTTGAACCTATTGCTCCTCCACTGTTGGAGAAGCCCTTCTGCTTCCTCAACTGTGCTGGTATGTACAGAGTCTTAGGGTCAGGCTTTGCCTATGAAGACTAAAGCAAAAGTGTTAAGTATTTCAGCTTATTCCATCTCATCCACCAACAGGATGTCCATTCCATTCAACAATGGGCTAAACGTTGTCTCTAAGTTTCCTCTAGCTGATGGAATCCCTATTTATGCTCCTTGCTAGTTTTAGCTTCAACTGAGCTTTGGCCTTCCTATCATCACTCCTGACAGCCTAAGCAATGTTTATACTCCTCCTTTGATGCCTGTCCCTGTTTTCACATGGCTTGTTACAAGCAAAACTACACTGGGGAAAAGTGTGTGCAGAAATATGAGTCATCTACAATGTACAAAACGTGTACATTCACTTTCAGATAACCAGAAAAACAGGCTCATTTTTAAAAAGGCAAGAGTTTAGCTGTTTGTTTCCAAAAAATAGTTAAAGAAATTCCAAAATACAAAAATACTTAATTCTTTCCTCAAATCAACGTTCATTTGTTATTTAAACAGAGTTATTTTCACTTTCATGGGACCCCTTCAAACATCATGATCCAAGATTAGCATGTCCTGCAGTCCTGTATCTCTGCTAGATACAACATAATGGATGCCCCAACTGCTACATAAAAGCTGCCTATTAAATCTGCTTGGGAGACCTGTGCCAGTCTTGGCTTTGCTTGTTGTACCCTGGCTGTGCTCGCACTCTCACCTACCCAATGTTTCATTCTGCAGATTAAAAGGCTCACTGTGCTCATCTGCCCTTTCGCTAGCTCTCTGCCTGACATAACAAGATGGCAAATGACAGAAAGTTATTCCAGATGAAATCTGTCACGTTAAAGGAATTGCCACTTGACCTCAGCAAGCAGTTTGTGTGGAAAAACTGGCACACTCTTTTACCTGCACACACGTAAGACCATGAACATAGAGGAAAATAACAGTATTCTCCCCATGTTTCATTCTTCACAATTTTTCTTTGCCTTGACAGACTGCTGTGAAGACTGTGCTCAAAAGCCTTGCCAGTATATCAGGTCTCCACATCATTGTCTTCATTCATTGAAAGGTAAACCGCTTTGCTGGTAATTATAATCCATGGATAGTCAATTAAATGCACTGACTGTACAACTAATTTATTCCCCATATGCTTTATCCTGATGCAGCAGATCTTTTAACTCTGTGGGTTTTTTACTATTGCTCGCTCAAGGTTTAAAATTGGGTATCACCATCTTGGTATGTTGAAATTACTATATTGCTAAAGTCCACTAAGTAAGTCTCAAAATTCTTACAGGGCTATAACACCTTCTGAACTAAATAACATTGAGATTTTGTCTAATCACACAGATTATATCGCAATGCCTTTTGCCTACCACAATACTGTTAAGACATACATAATTTATCAAAAATATTCCCACTTCTGCAAGCCTCTGATACATTAGAGCCACAAAACAAAAATATACATAACGGTGAGAAGTTCAGACAAACCAATGAAGGGACAAAAGGAGCAATGATTCCACCAACACGGGAAAACATGGAGCAGGCACCCATTCCAACATTCCTAAGAAGAAAACAAAAATCATTAAACAGTGACATTTGCATAGGAGAAATTATGAGTTTTGAAAAGTGCCATTGAGCAAGGAAAAAAAAAAATCTCAGTCATGACCCTGACCGCATTAATTGGCAAAGAAAAGTCAAACGTAACTAAAAGTATCCCAAGGCAGGAATTTGCTTTGTGCTGAAAGAGAAGCAAAAATCCCCTGCGTGTTCAGAATTCTAGCATACATACACACATAGAGAGGTGAAAAAAGGGCAATTTCGGTTAATGAAACTTTGGTTAAATTCCTTTATCCAAATCCTATTTATCAGCACATTTGGCTAGTCATGAAAAAAAACACAGTACAGTTTCACTGGTGCCTGGTTATCAACAGTAATACCTCGTTAAAATATCTATTAAAAACTCCACATATGACAGATGTTTTTGCCTGCTCTGTCAGCACAAGCACAGGGTACTTCTTCCTCCAGCAAGCAAAACCTTACTGTTGCTTACATATGGCCTATGAAGCACTAAGTTATTTTACAAAGCTTACTGACTAGTAATCTTCAATGCTGCTGGTTAAGCAACTATGAATGTTTAATAGAGTTGTCTGATTTATAAAGCACTGAAAGTTACAGATATCACTCATTAAAGAAATATCAACAATTCTATTGTTATCCTCATTAGTGGAAAAGGGCTGTGAGCATACCAAGCAGCCAACTATTTTACTGTTATATAAAGAATATGGTTAGTCTAAACATTGCAAATTTAAGGGAAAAGGAAGTGAGAAGAGGATACGGGAAGAAATTTAGCATATAAGACTATAGATAATCATTATACATAACTGAAAATCTCAAATGAAAAGGCATAGTTAATAAAGTAATAGAGAAGTAAAAGGTGATCAGGTAAGAGAACCAGAAAAATTAAGACCTTAAAATTAACTTGTGTTACCTGATCACTGTGGGATAAAGTTCTGAGGTGTAGATGTAGACAATGTTAAATGCAGCACTGATTGTCAGTTTCCCCAGCAAAGACAGAGAGCGACTATTCACCACTGCAAACACTCCAGTATCTGACAGAGAAAATGTGACCCCTGTAAGGCTTTCAAGCACTCAAATACATCTTCCGTAATCATTTCAATCACACAACAGTATGGAGTGAAAAGGAGTCTACTGAAGAATCTGCTAGGACAGCCAAAGGTTTTTCTATTAAAGGACACTATTTGTCAGAGGTGACCTCTACCTTCAGGAGAACTCTCAAAACTCAAGAGAATCCAAGGAGCTTTCTTTCAGGCAGCAATGGCAGAAATCTTCCAACACAATTTATATTCTGTCTCTACAGATTTATTACCTTTATTTGTGCAATCAAATTTGTACAAAGAGGAAAACTCTCCATATAACACACTGAAAAAAAAACCCCTGAAAAAATAGGTTTTAAATTCATGGCAGATTTGCTCCTAGTCCAAAATTGTTTCCTTTCTATTCAATATAATCCAATAGAAAAAGACTGGGTTAAATGACTGAACAGTCCCAGAAACTACACAATCGAACTGTTGCTCAATATCAGAAGAAAGAGAAACTGAGTTTTCCTTTCCTTGCCTTCAGTGTTACAGTAAGTGTACATCTTAAACATCTTTTACATCTTAAAGCATTAAAATCCTGCATTAAAGCTCTACTAGAACATCAAATTTTAGAAGTGTAAGATAAAAATCCTATAAACATAGTAAAACCTGAAACTAAAACTCAACATTTTCTGAGTCTACCACTAATAAAATACTAAACTAGTTCTGTTGGTAAGTTGAAAAAAAAAAGAATAATGGGTACATTTTTCAAAAGTAAGCAGGTTTTTAGTAACAAGAGCCCTATTCAGTGTAAATTCCAGAGTATGATAACATGCTTCTAGCATTATTACTTTGGAAGAAAAACAAAAGAGACAGGAAGGTGTTTTAAAGAATGATACCAAATATCCCATCCAGGTCAGTTTTGTCAGAATGGCCAGTGCTTATTCACTTATACCAGGCACATCAGAACACACGTTAAATGCCTACCAAGGAAGGCTACAGCATAAGCCATTACTGCTTATTACAAGTCATGCTCAGCAGGGACAGGTGCTTGCTTCTGGCCAGTTCATTTCCTAAGGCAATTTGCTCCTGGCTGGCTTTGACAGTTCAGCACACAGCTGATTTCCTGGGGTCTCACAGCAATACGATCTGAAAATCTCTTTCTTTTCACATGTTATACTTGGATTAATATGTAAACACTACTTGATGTCTGGTACCAGTCCAATCAGAGTATCTCTGAGCATGTGGGCTCTATCATCCATCATGGAAACCTCAGTTGTACCCCTTTAAAAAAAGTTTTAACTATTAGATTCATTGCCATCTAGAGCAACTCATGCATACTCTCATCATAAACGTTTAATGCTTTTGAATCATGCTTCAAATGTTTGAAGCATTTTCTCTCCTTGTGACAGGTGTTATACATGCACAAATCTTAGAAGCCGAGATGAATTTATGTACCTAGTTTTCAAAGGAAAAATTGCTCACAGAGCAGTTTTGTTTCCATCACTTTGAAAGACATCCAAAAATGAAGAAAAAACCATTAGTGCATCTTCACAAGAATCACATTTCATTTCACATTTCTCAAAGACCCCTTGCTTCAGAAGATTTTCAGAATGCTCTCTGAACTGTAAGTTATATGGCCACATTACTAATACCACAATCACACCAGTCTTGAACATTACAGAGCAGTGAGGAAAAGATGGAAACTTACCCCAAGATTCAGTTCTTAGGATCTTTTGACATTGGACTTTCACTTGGAGAGATACAAGTTGCATGGGTACTGCTTACACTGATGTATCATTTGGCTAATGGAGATACCCCAAGAAACATCATTCTTTAGGATTAAGTCAGAAACACTGGAAAGGAGCAACTGATGTGACCAGAAGTAAAGGGCAGAATCCAAAGACAAACGTTCAAATCCCACCCTTTATAATAAGCTTTCCTTACGGTCTTAGGAAGGTTGCTGCTTATCCTTTTTGCAAGTTAGCTTCTCTGGCTTCAAAAATTGAGACTCACATGTGGTATGAGCCTAATCTACTGGCAACCATCAAATTCTTAGGCTGTAGGATGCCAACTTCTTATCATGTACTCCAGAAACAAAAGGAAATACTTACCTTTCTTTTTAGGTAGAAACATGACAATAAGACAAGCCAATCCTCCCAGGAACAGAAATGCACTCAATGTTCGCTTCCGACCAAACCTGATGTGCAAGAATAACAAAGCTTTATTCTGCATTAGATCTGTAGTTTGCAGAGCAATGAGTCCTCTAAATTCACGTTGACTCTTTATTTGCGTTGGAAATTCTGAATGCGATCTCTCACAAACACTTGCTCTCACTCTGTTTTTAAACAAGCTTCTACTGCACTCTTAACAAAATGAACATCAAGTACTCTTTATGCAGTTGGTGACAATTTCTAGGATTTTTATTTGCTTCCCACTGTGTGCACATGTTTGTAAAACTCCTCAGGAGACACGCAGAGAAGGGAGGTGAATTCTACAAAAAGTAAAAGACATTTTCCAGAGTATCATGGCTGAGGAAAAGGCTAAATATCTGAATCAACAGCTCTGCCCACATAGTAGTGCACACAGAAGCTATTACACAAAACTACAGACAACTTGGGTTGAGTTTAGTTGCAATAGCTTTGGCGTAACAGTGAGAATGGGGATTACAGGACAGAGGTGGGAAGAATGCCATCTTGTGTTAGCATAGAGTCAGCACAGTTAGGTTCGACTGATAGAGTAGGTCAGCTTCACCTCCCAGCCAAAATTAGACTGCTTATTAATAAAGTAAGCTACTGAGAACAAGGTAAACTGCTGTTATTTGAAATAAAGATATATCAATGGCACTTTCAAATAAAAATGCATTTCCCAGGAGAATATAATGAAGTAGTAACATTGAAGCAGGAAGCTCCACACAATAGATGCAATATATAGCAAACTTATGTTTGAGAAAAATTGTAACAAAACCCTGAATGGGTTAATAAATTTCATACTTACCATTTTTGGTTAATCAAGTAAATACAGATTGGGTATGCTGGGATTTCTATCAACCCTGAAAGGGCTAAATTGGCATAAATACTTCCACCTAAGTCACCCACATTAAGGGTTAGACCATAGTAAACCAAGCTGCACACAAACCTGTGAAAGACAGAAAAAGAATAAAATCAGAGCTGCTGCTTTGCCTGCCAAATCAAAGCACTGGTCTGGCACAATACACTATATTTAATGTTTCAGAAGATAGGTCTAAAAATGTTTCTCTGCAAGTGTGTTTCTTTACCTAGAAAACATCAACGTTGTCTCTGCACAGACCCAATTCCTGACTTATTACTCAGCTAAATTTAAGGCTACACTTAAGAAGAATGTGCATAAACCAGAATAACATTAAGATATGAAAATGTTTATATTATTTGACTTGAGAAATTGTGTCTTTGTCCTTTTTGTTTTTATCAGGTTTCACTTTAGTCCATACTTTTGCAATTGCGTATAAACCCTTTCTCAAACAGTTCAGATGATACTTCTGCCTTCTTTGAATTTCTACACCCTGGTCCAGTTTTATTCATTCTCCAATTCTGATTTTTTACTTTTCTTTTGTAACCCTGACTGGCTGTCTTCTTTATAGAGAGGAAAGGAACAGGTCACTAATTCATTCTGCAGGAAATCTGCAATTCTCATTTAAGGAGCAGAAAAATCAAATATTCTTCAGTAAGCATTTGAAAAAACAACAGGAAAACAGTTCTGTGTTGTCTGCTGACAAAATAATGTCATTTGTTTTTTTCTTAATCAATACATCTTCCCCAAATATATGCATTATAAAAGCAACTGTATGAACAGTAATGCCAGAGGACTCACATAAGGTTTATTTCAAAATGGCAGCAGAAGACCTCAGGGCTAGCAGAGCTATCTGAAACAAAATAGGCACTTCTGGAGAGTTAAATTTCTGCTAGTGACTAGAGGTAGTTCCTGCTCCTTACTACAGCAACTGCTAGCACTAGCAGCACTTTCTCTTAAGAAAATAAACACTCATTAGACAAGGTAGGTCACCCACCTGCTAATAGTAATGGGCTCCTTACACACAAAACAAAGAATAATCCATGTCACAAAGTACTGACACACTGCACTGGGCCAAAGAGGACAACAGCATGGCTAATCTCAACAGCCTTTGAGGGTCAGAAAGGAAAAGATAGTTCTTAACTATTTTGAGACTCAAAAAGCATAACAGAAATGCAAAGATAAAACACCGCAGAACCAGATTGTAAAAATGGCTTCACATTTGAAATGCACTAAGGAAATACTATAATACAAGGACCTTGTTTAGGTACAGTGTCCCTAATAATACAGGCTGAGACCAAGTACAACCTGCGGGGTAAGCCAATCCTCGGCAACATGTTCTCTCAAAGACATAAAGAGGCAACAGTAGCACAGCTGGGCCTAAAAAGTATTTCAAGTACCAGGTAAACATCATGATCAAGGTGCGTCCCAAGAGAATCTTGTATCGGAACAGATCCAAGAAGCTGCCAGCCTCTCTAGAGCTCCTCTCTGCTGGAAGTTTTAATGAAAAAGTGCACTTCTGCTTGCGGTTCCTCTTCGCAATGAGGTAGAGGGCATCTTCTGCTTCATTCAGCCGGCCTTGTGAATAGAGCCAGCGAGGGGACTCTGGAATGAATCTGAAACACATATACAGAAACAGACAGCTTTAGGGCTTTTCTCTTCTACGAGGCTGGACTTGTCTATGGAAATATACTGAAATGTATTTCAGCCTTAAAGAATTTTTCAAATGACCTTTCAGGAGGGTTTGAATTCACTTATTGAAATGGAGACAAAGCATGTTGAAAGGAAAGGGAACATAAGTCATATGTAATTTAGATACCAGGAAATTACATTGAGTGTATACATATATACATACACACATACACACAACAGTACAAACAGTACAAATTATAGTATTATATTATTCGGACTCTCTCTTAGGAGAATTCAGAATTAAGGAGGCACCACATTGCTACAAGTAACCACAGGATGTTTTGTAACACTAATTAGTTTTCTTCTGTTCCTCATTTTCCAACTTTTTCCTCAAATTTTCTCCTATACACAGGAAGGCAGAGGCTATGCAAAGGCCATGCTCTTACTCCCCATGTGCACTGTTCACTTGATATGTCTACAACTCCAACACAGCCTACAAAACAAATGTTCTTCTATTACTTTCAGATTCCCAAAACTAATTTAAACTTTAGTCTTTTGCCAGAAGCTTTTTAAGATTTTTGCCTCTGACCAGAAGAGACAATTTTCCTTTAAAGGACAGTGATTCTGTGATTTTATAAAAGAAAACAGCTTAGAAAGGAATGGGGTTTTTTTCCCCATGATAAAAAACAAAATCTGATAACATTTCCTGCACAGAATAATTTTTAAGCAATGTGGGAGGGAGGCAGTGTGAAATTTGGAATAAAAAAATCCTTTATTACAATAAGATAGGCCTCTGAGCATAGCTCAAGTCCCAAGCATAAAGCACTTCAAAAAATTGTATATATCAATCTGAAAGTTAATTATTTTTTCCCAGAGGCCCCAAACACCACTTTAAAGTTTGAAATATCAGAAGTGTCATCTCTGCTTTTCTCCTCATGAACAGCCTCTAAGACTTTTCCTTGAGTTCTGATGCTTCCTTGGAAAGGCTGTTTTGACTCTTTAGCAAAGAGCTTTATTCAAAAAGTTAGTTACTGAAGTTAAATAAACGTTGGAAGGAAAAAAGCCTTAAGTTTAAACAGCAGCTAAAGTTATTTTCTTCTTGAAGTTACTGAGATTTTGCTGTCAGGAGGTATATCAGAAAAGAAGAGCACACTGCATCATACAGCTTTCAGTGCTGCACAAAACTCCTACTATCTTAATAAAGAGCCTTCTTCCTATTCTTTTCTAATCACATTTAAAAAATAAAAGGAAGCTGCCTACTTTTTCTTTTGCATGTCACCTCTAAGACTGTATGTGCAAGCAATTTTGATGCTGTTTCGTCTGCGTAAGCACAATAAGAGAAACATCATGTTATCACATAACGGCAAAAACATTTCTGTATCTTTTAACACCTAGATAAAGTGTCTTATAGCATAACAGACAACAGTTTAGATCATCTACATATACCAGTTAAAGAACAGGATGTTCTTCTACACCACGCTAGAGACTGTTCCTATCTTCAGTAACAATGCATATATGATACAATGTACACTTACATTTTCAAATAATGCAGCACTACTATTTAAAGAAAGCACAGAACATGGGGTGGTAGAGATTGAGAGAAATACCTTAGTTACACCATTTCATACTACCCTAGAAAACTACCTTGACTTAGTTGTTTGGTTTGTTGGCTGTTTTTTGTTTGGGTTTGGCTTTTTTTTTTTCTTTTTGCCATCCTTCTTTATGAAACTCAGTTTGAAAAATAACTTACAGAGAGAGAAGAAAGACAACTGTTCCTTCCAGGTTAACCACAACAGCCAGAGTCCTCCAGGAACGAATGAAGTAGCCTAATAAAGCATACTGGGCAATTCCCACAGCAAAGAACAAGCCACCAATAGATCCTAATATACCATTAAAAACAAAACAAAACATTATCACTCCTTTAAAGAATATTATTAACTCTCAACACATGGAATCAGACAGAAACTAACACTTCATTAAGAAAAGATCACTCAGCAATACAGGCAAAACCACAGGTATTTGATCAAAGATCATTCTGTCCTTCTCCCATGCAGGGCAGAAGTATTACCTCTAATTGCAAAGATCAGTACAAGTCCAAAAAGCACCATTCTACACCCTCCTCAACCAACAAAACCCCATAAACCATTAAGTCTTGTAATTCCAAATATGTTTCAGCTTATATGTGTAAAAATACAAACCACTGGAAAACTGGTATTTTTAGGGCTATATAGCATTTGTTTGCAGCTCTCATGATCTGTAAGATACCCTGCTTTAAAACAGTCTCAGCATGGCATTTCTTTGGCACTTGTCACAGACCGGGTAAGTCAGGCCCAGAGCTGTAACAGTACAATTTGTACACATCATATCTAAAGGACAGCTTCAACCAAGACAGTTAAGCATGTCTGTATCTTTTGTTCTAAGTTCTCAGGTTGATTAACAAATAGGACTTTTTTTTTTTCTTTTTTTACATACAAACAATAGTCATCTCATTTTCCCATTATATAAAAACCACTTTTGATTTCATTTTGAGAACCGCCAGAAATGAAAGAATTTATATTTAGCATACAAACACTAAGCTCTGTTTAGCAGAGCCCAAAATTCTGATGGATAGACCTCAGCTATCACGAACCTTGGATAAGTATTTAGCTGTGTAACAAACATTCACAGGGGATGTTCCACTGGACCTTTGTCAACTTGAGTGATGCAGAAATCTGAATGGTCCCAAGTGATTTACTGTGCTTGCCTAAGGTTCATATTAAAGCAGAGCTCAAAGACCGTGGTCACACAGATTCTCAAGCAGAGTTAAGTTCGCAACTGCTACGGTATTAGGTCTGGTGTGTGTCAAGCGGCGCGTGAGACTGAAATGTATAAATTCAGACAAGACAGATACTGACACTCAGACTTTTACCTGCTAAAGCCCAGTAGGCAGTACCCACACACTCATTCAGTAGAACAAAGGCCACCAGTGACATCCCACCATTCATCATCCCTACCAAGAAGCGAGAGATGGCAAAGAATTCATATGAGGGTGAGAATCCATTTGCAATGGCAAACAAGATGTCGAGGGCAAAACCTGCAAAACAAGGCAAAAGGTTTCATTTCAAAAGGGTACCCAAAAGCATTTATCAGTATATTTACTTGATGTTCAGTGGCATCTGTCCTAAGTAATCACAGTCAACAACTACAACACACTGCTACATACCACAGATTTGGGTAGAAAACTAAGTACCTAAAGTCAGTATCATAAAGGGGGGCAGGGGAAACGACACACACAAAAGTAGTGGTTTCTGAAACATAACTGCAGTACTAAACCTTCAAATTCAGTTCACAGCAGACATTCTTTTCCACATACTCAGAACTACTGTCTGGCTCCAGTTAAGATGGCTTGTTATTTATCCCCATATAGAAGCCACAGACTAAATACATGACCAGTATCTCCCCTCATTCTTGGAAAGGAGTCCATACAAACTAGAGAACAGAAACAATACCAGGGGACAGTACGTAGGGAGTTTGCACTGCATAGCAGGCCCACCTTTACCTGCTTTGAGTGAGGTTGTTCCTTTAAAAAAAATATGTTTTTTAATTCTATATGCTCATCCATTGGTAGGGAGTTTGCACTGCATAGCAGGCCCACCTTTACCTGCTTTGAGTGAGGTTGTTCCTTTAAAAAAAAAAGTTTTTTAATTCTATATGCACATCCATTGACACACAACTTTATAAATACATACACAAAACATGAAGTCCCAAATGTTGTTTGAGCTGGGGACAGTAAAAGAAGCTTATGAGCTTTAAAAAAAAATAAGGATCACAAATACATAAAAATTAAATCATGCAGACAGGAGATAAAAGGTGCAGCAAATTCCTAGCAGTTTATACATATAAGAACATTGCTAACAAATTACTAGAAATATTAATTGCTACCTGTGGAGATCCCATGAGCATGACATGCATGAGTGTAAGCCCTTATGGTATGACTCCTAAATCCACAACACCTTGATTGAACAGTCGAGTGTTAATTTCTCGCCCCTACTTATATTCCTGAAGTATACTGGAAGGACAAAACAACCCCCACAGAACATTATTCACTGCTGCATATCAAGGTCTCAGCAGAAACTGGGCTCTTGTCACTGATTTTCAGAGACAGGAGACCTCCACTTCATTAATTTTTTTAGGTGGCAGTGGTTACCTGTGAGATAGACTTTCTTCCTTCCGAAGCGATCTGAGAGTTGGCCAAAGGAGATTGCTCCAACAAACACACCACTGAAGTAGAAAGAACTGGCAGCACTGACTTTGTACGATGTGTTGCCAATTAAAAACCACTGGATGAAGGAAAAAAAAAAAAAGGAGAATTAACCAGAATCCAAGCAGTTCACCTACAGCTAATAATTGAAGGGGGATGACATATACTTTAAGGAAGATCAGACTTTGCATAAGTCTCCTAAGCATCACATTCAGTCAGTCATCAGTCACCACCACACAACTGCTATCTCCCAGACCCACTGGGTGGTACTAGCCAGTCGCACAGGTCCCCCAAATCATGTGCAGTCTTTGATTCTGATATCAAGGACAGATCTCTCATAGAATATTGTAATTTTTGCAGCCTTCTCCCATTCTCCCTTTTATTGGCTTTTCTCACATTAATGTATTATCTTAAATAGACTCAGTCCTACCTCTTGACATATGTCACTGCAATGTGTAGGCATACTATGCAAAAATAAAAATTGGTGGTTTATGTCCAAAGATAATCCTGCATATGTTCCTCCTTATGAACTGTCTTGTCACTGAGAAATACCTTGGTAGCATTAGACAGGTTTTCTGGTATTGCAAATACTCATCTTTTTTACAGTCTACTTTGTGTCATTTCCAATTCTTCTCAATTCCAAATACAAACCTGATCTTCATATGTTTAATTCTTACAGACTTAATGTCTCAGATTGAACCTGACAGGAAATTCTTTCTCACACAAAACTGTAGAATGAAAATATGCCATGCTCTCTCTGTTCAAAAGTTATTTCCTTTTGTATTCTAAAAACTCCATATCTTGTGTTCTTTTCTTTTTCTACTCCTCTTGAATCTTGAGATAATGCTTCCTCTTAGTGACACCCAACTTTTCTTCCTGTGCTGGTAAGCTGGTGATTATGTCATTATCCCTGCAATAACACTCTAATCTTCCCCTCATAATCTCTTCCTCTACCAAAACCCCATTAGATATCCTTTCTAGCAAAGCTTATATTATTTCAAAGCTCAGTTATAAACTACCTCACCATGAAAACAGAGCCATGCAATTAAACCTCACCAAGATTAGAGAGCTAACAAAACAAAATCATTCAGAAGCTCCAAGAAAATAACTTGCTTACTCTCAGTATATGCTTCATTTTGAATTGTCACTTTAATGGTGAAGTGCTTACTGACACAGTAGGTAATGTGCCCATAAAGCGTCAAGACTGACAAAATTCAATTTTGTGGTCCATGTGACCACAAATCAGCTTTTGAAACTTCTCTACAATTTAAAAACAATTCTCAAAAAAATACATTTGTATAATAAAAGCATATGAAACTAATTTTATCTCAAAACAACATGGTCAGTTTGTTTTATAAGAGCTACAAGAATCGTGCCCTAACTTTTGGTATATACATTAAAAAAGCTGCCAACACTGAAACTCAGTGGCATTAAATGCTTTCTGAATCATTCAGGGATTAAGGGATAATTTCATTGTGAAGCAAAATGTGTTCTGCAAATTAATCTCAACAGCTAAGAAGCCCTTTAAAGTGCTCAGGGCTTTTCTCTTCTACATAAAGCATGTTACATATATGCCTGATATTCATAAATTGAGTTTTTTACATCAGAATATTTTTCAGTGTAAATTTGTAACAGTCATGTTATTAGTAAGTAATGCCACAAGATAAGCATGAAAAAACATCCTCTTCAAATGCAGAAAAAACTTTTTTACATACTAGTAATGAAACTAGATAGCGATAGCCATTCCCCAAATAAACGTGATATCACTAAGATCTTTGTATTTAGCACATAAGTCAACTTCCAAATATATCACACTAACATTTTGAAAAAAACCTGTATTTTAACAGTGGGGAAACAGGAGAGGCAGTAAGATTTTATATACATGGACCTTTCCTGAGAAGTATGTTAAAGAACTTCAAAGCAGAATCTACACAAGTTGCCTTAGGATTTCTTTTTTATTATTTATTTTTCAGGTAAACTTTGTTCCTTACCTGCATTTCTTATCTATGCCACTAAAACACATAAGAATCTTTATAAAATTTATGCTCTAAAACACTGCTAGGCTCTACAAACATGTCTGACTTGTCAAGTTTAAGAGAATAAAAGATTCTTGGATAAATTAAAAAGCGAAAAAGGAGAAGCCCAAAGAAAGTTTGAAAACCTTACTGAGCTTCAAGTAATGCTTTAAAAAAATCCACCATCCATTAGGATTTCAATTTAAATAGCAGCATAAGTACTTATATCCTCTTTATTACCAGAATAAGAAGCAATGCCTGTTGTACACAACTGCTTGGTACTATTTCAAAACTGGCAGATTTTATTAATATGCTCATAACCAATGAAGTTAAGTGCTTTACAGGACTAATTCAAATAGCATTAATGCCTCTGGACAATATCCATGAATTATCAAGTGGTACTACAGTTAACTCAACTGTATAGTTCTAAATTCAGGTCTTGTAACAGATGAACTCAGATAGGGCTCTTGCACGAACAATTTGACATTAAGAGATACTGAAGGCCCCAGGAAGGGCAGGTGTTGCACACATCAGTGTGGAGTCTGGAATCATATCTGCAAGGAATGTGGCTAGTCCATGAAAAAAAAGACACAAAACAGAGGCCACGCCAATAAAGATAAAGCTTGTTGCAGGATAGAATGGGGGGAGTCACTTTGTCCACCTGATTCCCCCCTGCCCATGCCTTCCCTCAAACCTGGAGTTGCAAAGACTGCAGAAGCCACTTCTCCAGTTCCTCCACTGCTTGCTAACTGCATGACGGATGCACTACATGCATTTAACCTTAGCAAGGGAATTGCAACAGATGGCCAGAAAGAGCTCAGGGTCCAAAAAGGATTTTGAACATATTAGTACAATGAATGACATGATTCTAGCTCAGTGGAACCAGGATAGAGGATCCAATACTTAACTTCCACGTGGAAACGGTGGGAAGTTTTGAAGCTTTGGTCAAGATCTGCATAGCAAAATAAAGCTAGTTTTTGTTGCCAGTAAAGATATGAATAGATTACCTGTTCTCTACCTGGAGGCAGCACCTGTTTCATTTGCTAATCAAAACATGCATTAGTATGGGAGAAAGAAGCAGTACAACCAGCTCCCTGCAACTGACCCAATAAGATTTACTACTCACACACGAGGTAGTGAAACACATTTCAGACTTACCTCAGAGACTATTGATGTGAAGCTGCTGCTGAAGTGTACGTGCTTATGCACCTCACTGCCATTGGCAGTCAGAAGCCATTCCCCAAAAGCTCTCTGCTCACTCGCTGACTGGTTGCTATGGCTCTGATTAGCTGAAAGCTCTTGGAGATCCCAGTGGTAGGGAGGAGTTGCGCCCACCAATGCGATGAGGATGGCTTCAGTGGCCACATAGAGCTGGCATGAAAGACAAAAAAACATCAGAGATACTAAACATACATCCAAGCAACATTTCTTTTGCAATTGGATCAAACCAGTATTAAAAAATATTCCTATTTTATATTTGCCTTCTACCACTAGAAGATGCCACGTATAGCCCCCACCAAATATCACATACTTAAAGAATCACAACTTCAACACAGTGGTTCTTGCACTTTTTATCTGTTGATTATCTGAGAGAAAAGAAGTTCCTCTCATGACACCTTTCTCTCAGTTAGAGGCCCCCCAACTCCCACACATAGCAAGTACACCTCTTGCATGCACAAAAAGTTTTGGTAGTACTAAGATGACAAAATAAAACTGTTCTTTGATGCAAATATATTACTCCACTATATCCTTTCCCTCTACTTGTGCTGTTCATTCCTCTGATCTGATATTTGGAATGTATCTCCCCCCTCACTGTTTCATGTCTAAACTTTCCCAGTTTCACCAAAATTAATGCTTTCCTATTTTTTAATCTTCTATGAACCTCTTTTACACTTTAAAAAAAAAAAAAAAAGGAGAAAGGCACACATGCATTTTTTATATATCTGCACATGCATACACATATACAAAGTCTAAATACAGTGATTTACAGCTGGCTTTGTTTAGGAAAGAATAAATAGAACTGCTGGAAACCCAGATATTTCAAGCCTGATCTAGAGCTGGGTCACTGCTTCTTGCTCAGAAGAACATTCACAAGCCACTGCTTTAATAGTCTACATTGCAACTCCATCTTAAAATTCAGTGGTTTTAGACCTGTTTGAACATAAAAGTGCCATGAGTTCTGCAACAGAAGACAGATGATAAAGTCTTCTGAGACAAAAGCAGTTGCTGGTAACAACACAAAGACCCCTCTCCAAATAAAACTGTCTCTTGTCTCAAGCCCTCACTGAAGAACAGTAACTCAGCGCAGTAGCTCCTGACAAAAAAATAAATAAATAAGTAAGTAAAAATCTTGTTGCTTCTCCTGCCTATTTCTTTCATAAAAAACCTCAGTCATGACACTCCATTCCTCAAACCCTGCTTCAGACACCTCCTGAATACAGTCCTTGCTCTGCTCCCAGCATCTCCTCTGAATGTACCTATAGGAAGTGTGTTCTCTCAGGTGGCTACTGCACAAATAATTCTCAAAACTGGGAAGACCATAGACAGGCACAAATAAAGAAGTCTTAGGACCTCTGAATTCTGATGCAAGCAAGACCACATAATCCTATTCTGTTCTGTACAACAGCTGAGCAGAGTTACACCCAGATCTAAATGAGAATTAGCTCCCTTTTGCATTCTATGATAAACTGCTACTGTAGTGGCAGGAGGAAAATAAATATTAAAAAAATTATATTTCCATTTTTAATATGAAATTATTGAATAGCAAAAGGAATGTGGAAGAAAACCCACAATCTTAACTATATTATTTAAGCTAAAGAACAACTTCTAGACAGACAATGATGACAAGTAAGAGGCCTCATCTGTGCAAGAAGACAATGACTAACATTACATGGGGAAAGAGGTGTTAAAAAGCTGAGTGGCCATGTTGCTAGGGATGTATGGATACGGTACTCTCAACACCAGTTTGAAATTACTGAGAAATGAGAATTACAGGTCATGATCTGTGGTGCATCCCTGTACTCTGACTCACTCAGACAATTCCGTGTCAGGACTAAGTGATAACATCCTTGCTTTTGTCTTGTGAAATAATAAACATTTTTTTGAAGTAGTTCAGGAAATGAAATCCTCAAGGCATTTGGTTTAGAGAAAGAAAGCATAATGCTTTTCATTTTTGCTCTAGGTGAAACCCACCCCCAGCTACAGTAAACTAAATCAAAAAAATAAGTGATTGCAGGCACACAAAGAAACACTACAGATATTTTTGCAATAAAAAAAAAATCAGCCTTAAGCATCCTAGTGTCTGCAGCAAGCAAGGATATAATAAAGATAGAAACACTTTCAAGTGATCTGTTGAATCAGAAAAATATATGAAGAGAGAGACATGTTTTGATGTTATCAAACAGTATTGTTCTATATTCAAGTTCACTGGAGTCACTGCTGTCACAAGACTGTTTTTCCTAGTGATCATCTGCCTTGTATTTTGAGTAACAGGTATGGTAAACCCTCTTAATTTCATTGCAAAAAACCCAAAACAAACCCCACAAAACCCCACAAAACACTCCCCAAAATTAATTTACGCTTCTGAAGACTGGAAATGTTGTCTAGAAGTGGTCTTAAACATAACAAAGCAAACTCCAAACAAAGAAATTCAGGATACAGTTTTTAACATTCAAATAAAAGGCAGGGGTTTCTGTTAATGAATCCATAGATTCTCCCCTTAAGAACTCTACATGTTTGCACTTAGCAATAACATATTTGCATAGACTGGTGACAAATATAAAGTGCTATCAAATCAGAACAGAAATATAACAACTTTATAAGGTATACCACCGTGGCAAACAACAAACACTTTCATTTTTCATTTGTTCTATAACCCATACAGTACAAGTCAAATTTATGTCATTTAATGTATATCTGCTCTTCATAAAACATTTTAATTGGTTCCACCTGGATGTTAAGAGTTCTCCATCAAATTCCCTGCACTGATCTGTGTTAATCAAGATGAATACCAAGCACAGAGGGAGCAGGCAGCAGCTCATAGCCACTGATGATGAAATGCTGAGAGTTTTGTCAGTTTAAGTTTCTCCTGTTTGTTTATAGCCTCCATAGGTTAAAATGTTATAGTCGATGGTGTAAGGACATTTATTAAAAAGCAACATCTTAACAACCTGTAAACTTTCGCTTTTTCTGCTAAATAGAAGGAACTTTAGTTAGCTATTTATAGATATTTCTTTATCAGGTTTTGAAATTAACTTAAAATTAACTTTTGAGATTAACATTTAAAAATTAATATTAGTAGAAATGCCTGAAATGTCTTGACCAGCTTTCTTGGTGCTCATTTTCATAATAAATTACTTCCAAGAAAAATGTAGAATCTCTAATAAGACGAGCAAGGGAAGGGAAGCAAGTGCTTAAATAGTTTCATTTGTGTATAATGAAAGTACACACACAAAAATCATTTAAGAAACTCTTTTAGACCTCCTAATTTACCCATTATGAAGCACAAATGAAAAACAAAAGTTCTACTAAAAAGTGCTATCAACCTTTTTAATCAGCTCATTAGCAATTCACAATCAGTGTGATCATTCTAGACAAGCATCAGCTGAAGCATTCACTGCTGAACAAAATAATGAGTAAGCCACTAACTTCTGACCTTTCAAATACAGAAACATTAACACTGCACCTTGAGGAAAGACAGAAATTAAGGAAGAACAGGCGAAGAATTACGGCGAAGAGATGGTTACACTTTAGGGTTAGAGTAAGTTCTCCTGAACTCATGACAAGTAGCTGAAAAGCTGGAGGGCCACCTTGTTTTTGAAAGTCTGATGATCTCATCTGCTCTGAATTATTTCAAAAGGGTGATTTGAATCACATAATTTTTTTCCCCCCAAATATCTCTTTTGTGTAGAAAAGCCCTAAGACATCTTTCTGCTACTGACAACATGCTCTTCTACCAAAGTATCTTTCCCTTCTTGGTAGCACAGTAAGATAGAAAACACCATAAGACAGAAGGAAAGGCTACATTGCAGTTACAAACCAAAGAATCACCATGTGCAGAAGAACACATTGTAATCTCTCAGACACTTAACAACCCCAACCCCACTCTGATAGCAAATATTCACCATGAAGAATGTAACCACTGTTGATTATTACATGTGCAACAACACAGTGGACACATATTTTGAAAGAACTTAGGGTTTCTTTAGAGAAACTGAGAAAACCTAGCCAATTTAGACTTTCTCAACCTTAAAATGTAGGCCTCTAGAATCCACAGAAAAAAAGTCCAAAGTCTGTCCAAACCCATAACTTTATTCTAGAAATTCTTCACCACCTACATTGAAATATAACGCTGTACGGCAACCCTCAGAGCCTCATTTCTTACAGATTTGTGGAAAATGTCCCCTTAGCTTCCCCTTCTTTTCTGTTCCAAACATCCACACGCACACCTCAACTGTTTCATGCTCAGTATCATTTTGGTGGGTGCTCCTTCTGCTCAGACTGTCCAGCCAGCACATGTGCTGATTTGCCAGGTGACTGCTGCCACCAAACAGCACATGCACAGAAGAGGCCTGCTTTACTTCCCATCAGCGCAGGCAAACATTTGAGTTTTGAGAGCAAATAGCTTCATTGCACAAGTTTTCTGCAAAGACAGTCCAAGTGGCAGCTAACTCCTGTGTACACACCTTTGCCGGACAGGGCCATGGCAACACTGCACACACCTTGCACCTGTACTCCTGCCTACCTAATGATGACAAAAACGGTTGCATTGGTGATAGGACTGCAGGACACATACCTAGACTCTCACGTCCTCAGTTCCAAGTTGCTTTAATAATTATTTTGTAGCCTATCATGAGAAAAATGAATCTGCCCTTTTTCTGCCAACAAGCAAAAGTGATCTTTGCCAGCAAAATTTAGTGAAGTACTTCCAGCTCTGCACTTTTTTCAATAGTGCCATCCTACAGATCTAGTATTTCTCGGTAAATTGATACCATTTGAGATTTCTCAGCTGTTATCAATGAACCAAAGACACAGGGTATATCAGTCTGCTTATAACTGGACAGCAAAACAGAGGGTGCAACGCAGACAGCAACAAAGGAAAGTCAACCCAAAAGCTTCACAAAGGGTTCTCTCCAAGAACAAAATAATATTCTTCACACAAGATCACATGAGTGAATTTAATTCTGAATATGCATACTTCATTAAATTGTGCCAATAGCTTTAGATTCTTCTACCTCTTCCACTACTCCGTTCTCTCAAACACCAGAATAAACAAGTAAGAAAACTTACCATCAAGAGACAGGTTGCTGTTACTTCCTGCAAGCTGGATTTCTCCACAGTGCTATAAATACAGATAATGAGTTTGCTGTTAA